TTTTGTAGCCACATCACACTATTGGCTTATATTTTGCTTGTGATCTATGACAATTCCAAGATCCTTCTTGCTTGTAGTTTTGCTGAGCCAGGTATCACCCATCTTGTAACTGTGCAATTGGTTTCTTTTTCTGAGGTGCAGTACTTTGCACTTATCCCTGTTGAATTTCATTCTGTTGCTTTCGGCCCTGTGCTCCATCCTATCAAGGTCTTTTTGAATTTTGTTTCTGTCTTCTAGGGTATTAGCTATTCTGCCCAATTTAATATCATCTGCAAATTTGACAAGCATTCCCTACACTCCCTCATCCAAGTCATTAATAAAAATATTGAAGAGCTCCGGGCCCAAGGCTGAGCCTTGGGGTACCCCACTTGTTACCTCCTCCCAGTTAGAGAAATACTCATTAATCATCACCCTCTAAGATGATTCTGTAGCCAATTGTGTATTCACCTGACACTTGATCTATCCAGCCAACACCTAGTTAGCTTACTAATCAGGATATCATGGGGCACTTTGTCAAAAGCTTTGCTGAAGTCAAGATATGCTACATCTACAAAATTCCCTCTGTCTATCAGGAGGATTACCTGATCAAAAAATGAGATCAACTTAGTTTGGCAGGATTTGTTCTTGACAAATCCATGTTGGCTTCTAGTTATTATTGCATTGTTTTTACCATGTTGGTTTCTAGTTATTACTGCATTGTGTAATGAAGTTACATTTCAATAATGTAGCAAGTGAGAATAATGTTACCTTATGTATGTGGAGAAAGCAGTTTTCTCTAGTTTCAAAATTACGTTTCAGAGTGTTTTCAAACATTTAGGGGTGTTTTGAAGCATTTTAGTGGAATTTTTATTGTGCTTTATCACACCTATTGTTTTTTGAAAATAAAAATGAAAAAGCTGCAGAAAGCAACAAATAATATATTTTGTTATTAAATCTTATAATATTAACAGCAATTAATTCACTAAGGAGTTGCATAATGTATTATTTTTCAGAGGTTTGTCCTAGCGTTCATGTGCTATTATCAATAGGGGAGCTGAGAAATATAAAATGAAGAGCTAACTACAGCCGGAAAACATGACCTAACTAGTGTGCCTTTCTATTGACTTGTCTAGCAAAATGGTTTAATGTGCATTTCCCCATTGCTTTATTAAAAAGTGATCCCTTTCACAGAAATACCAGCATTTACCCTGAGGAAGATTTCACACTTACAAGGATGAAAATGAAAGAAATATGGTGCATTCATTAAGTAACTTTAGCTGTATGAGGGAGCAATGAAATATCAGGAAATATCTACATGGATCTGCGTTGAATTCATACCTGGGAAATCAGGTTTCACCAGGTGAATTTGCTTTAGCCAACCACAGAGGAGCCAGTGGAGAGAGAGGAGGAAATTTCAAATTAGCCCTTGTTTGCAGCTTGTTAAGTCAGCTTTTGCTCTAGCTACTCAGATTTGCAGGAGGCATGGCTACAGCAGTGCTAACTTTAAAAAATTGCAAAGAAAGGCTGATTTGCAATTTCAGTGCTAAGCCTTAAAAAAAAAAGAAACAGCATTATTAACAGAGATATTTGAGGGGAACTGATGCCCAGGAGCAGCTGGAATACTCAGGAGCAGCATCTTTCACAACCTAGGCAGCAGAGAAAAGAGCCTTGGGATTTTACATGCTTATTGCTTTCAGTAAAACTGTTCCTTGGCATATGACATGAGGTGGGTGGATGCAGCTAAGTATGCAATCTGAAAGAGATCCCTTCCCCTGCCTCCCTTGGGAATCAACCTTCCTGCGTATAACTGCTGCTAGTGGGATGATTGACAGTTTCCTCCTCCCTTGCACATATTTGCTACATCTACTCAAGCAATCACACCATCTGAATTGATGCAAAAGCATTTGCTTGCAAAAACATTGTAGCAGCCCCAAGCTGGAGGAAGAAAGTGGGCATGGCAACTCTGGGCTAATGTACATTGACAAGGATGTTGTGTATCCAATGAAAAATAATATGAAGTTGACTACTACAGTCACAGAGCATATTTGTCAACGTAGTCACTCCCTAATTAAACTTATTGGACTTAAAAAAAATCTCTCTCTGCACCAAGCTGAAGAGTCTCAGGGAGTATTGGAAACCTGTACATTGACATCCCATTCAATGTAATAGAAGAACTGCTTCAGATCTTAGAGAAGGTTTCTTATATGCAAAAGAAAATAGTGTGCCTATGCTTCTTCAATAAAATTGTCATCAGGCTGAGGCTGAGTACTATTTCTTACCACCATGCTTCTAAGAGGGTGGAAACAAAATATATTTTAGGAGCCCGTGGGATGCTACATGACAACACTCACAAAGAAAAAGCAACAACAACATTGCAGTCCCAGTTCAGTGGGTGAGGACCTTATGAATCCCTTTGCTGTCTTCTTTGACTTCTGAGTCATTGCTTTGAGGCTGAGTTTGGCATGTGATCAAATTGTAGGAGTGAAGAAAGAGAAAAACTCATAATCAAGAAACAAGTATAGTTTTCTCTTGTTATGGTAAGCCATCGTTCAGGTAGTTATGTTTCATCTGATTCTTCCACATAAACTAGAAGAATGTTTGTTTGTATTATTACCAGTTTATTCCCACTGGCATTTTTATTGGGCTGTATAACTTTAAGGATTGCCCATCCCCCGGTCCAGCAGGCACTATGTATGCCCTGTCATTTACCCTGAAATACACTAGAGTGCTTGTCAGGCGTTCTGTGTTTGCAGATGTATGATAAGCCAAGTAAAGAGCTATAATAGACGCACTGAACTTCCAAACTCTGGAAGAATTGACTAGATATTGGCTGAACACTTGAATCTTGGCTGACTGCATTCTGGAATAGGTGAGTGATATGGTATTAAAACATTTTTTGTCACAAAATTACAATTTATTGCATTCTGTGCCTGAATTTCTTTTTAAATAGAAAACAACATGCATTTATTAATAGTTGCTCTTATTGTTAAGTTCAAGATACACTTGTCTGAATCGCAAAAACCTTTAACTTTTGAAATGTCCATTTTAAAAATCCATTCATTATAGGGAATAAAAGCAAGTAGCTTTACATGGTGCTCCATATTAAAATTCTGTATTTGTGAAGACAGCAGGTCCATCTAGTTCTGTTTACAGAGATACTGCTAAACACTGACAATACCAGATTAGTTTCACATGGATACAAAAAAAAATGTTTTCATACAGAGGATTGTGGGTATCTTTTGATGCTGCTACCTTTCTCTTTATCAGGAAAGTTCAAAATCTGCAATCAAAACAAATCCTAAAAATGAAAAACATTTGCACATAACCACCTTATATAAAATTTATTCTGCACTTGAAATGTAGCTTTCTGAAGCTTTTTTTTCTCCTTTTGAGATCTATTTTTAAAAATAACTTAGAATCAGTTTAAAGGAACTAGTGGGATATTAGAGCACTCAAAATATTTAGAAGGATTTATTCCGCTCTCGAGATTGAGTTTTCCAAATAATTTATAATATATGTTTCAGAATTAGTGAGATATTAGCAACATGAAAATATTGACTTACAACTGGAATTCTAGGCACCCTTACTGGAAACTAAATACCGAACTCAATAAACTTGTTTAGGATTTGCAGCCTCATCCCAGGCCTAGGGTACCTCCAATCTGCAAGATGCTTTAGTTAGGAGTGGGTCTGTCTTGTGCAAAGTAGAATGGCCTTGGTGTGAAACAGACTAAAAACGTATGGGATCTTTCCACTAATTTCAGAGGGAGTTATAGAGATCTGTATTATGTCTGACACTGGACCGTAAAACGTCTTTCCATTTCTCTAGTTCCTCCCCCCCATATAAGTATGATACTAGTGAGCATTAAAGATGTAGAGTGCCTTTCAAGCTATGCACTGTGATTTAATACTGAGAAATGCATTATTTTTCATATTTCATTGCATTTTCATTATTTTCCTGTGACAGCAGACTAATTGATGTTTTGAAGCTGGACATGATTTTAACGATGCAGCATGATAGTCAGTCACACATTCAGAAGTTAGTCCTGTGTTCTTTTTTAACGATGCAGCATGATAGTCAGTCACGCATTCAGAAGTTAGTCCTCCTGTGTTCTACAACACTTAGTTCCATGTACACTTGCTCAGAGGGGCATCTTTATGATACTAACACCTTCTCTGACCTGTCGAAGTAAACCTTAGGCAAATAGGTTAACAAAATAACTGTGTGTTTTCTACAGTGTCTCAATTTTTTTGGGGGGGGGCTCCTGATGGAAAAGAGCCAATTGCATAAAGGCACTGTTTGAGAAATAAACACCCTGTAAGAGGCATAAAGGCACTGTTTGAGAAATAAACACGCTGTAAGGGCATGTTAGCAAAGGGCACATCAAATAAGTGGCTGAGTGGGAAAATGTAATAAAGCTATATACCGTATTGTAAGACTCCATACATGCTCGCACTCCTCTTCTTGTGTGGGCGCATGGTCAAGTGGTTGTAGATGAATATATGTAGATGAATAGATATTTGTTTTGTAACAGAAGATTTAAGCTCAGATGAGTGATGGAGCACGAATGTGCTAACATTGCACTTTAACAACCAAAATATTGTATTGTAGGGAACTGGAGGTAAAATAAAGCATGAATGTCTGCAGGAATTTTTCCAGGGGAGGACATAGCTATTTAATGGTATGTGAGCACAGTCTGTGTACATAGCATACCACTACTACACATCTCTGCATTTTCCTTATGTGTGTGAAAATATTTTATTCCTTAGCATTGCATTTAAAGCTTACCCATGGAGAGAGAAACTGGAATTTGACACCACTAATGCAGAATACAAAAGGCGTTATAGACTCTAAGAAAATGTTGTGTTGACTGGAGAACATTTTTAAACAACCTATTAGATAAAACAAAGAGGATGGAAGGATAAATTAATTTAAAATGGATATGTCCTGGTATCTCTGTTATTGTTGTAACACTGATCAGGAAAAGGCTCCCTCAGTTCTAGAATGACTTCTGTCATATTTTATGAGAATAGTGGAGGAGTTTTGAAGGAGTAATCATAGGCTGTGGGAGGAGAAACAGCTGGGAATTATAGGAGCATAGACTATTTATTTTGCTATGTTATCAGCCACTTTTTATTTCAGCTTCCCTAACCTTTGTATTAGGGATGTGGTGGTGCTGTGAGTTAAACCGCAAAAGCCTCTGTGCTGCAAAGTCAGAAAACCAGCAGGTCGAATCCATGCAACAGAGTGAGCTCCCATCGCTTGTCCCAGCTCCCGCCAACCTAGCAGTTCAAAAACATGTAAAAATGCGAGTAGATAAATAGGTACCACCTCGGTGGGAAAGTAACGGCATTCCATGTCTAGTCACGCTGGCCGCATGACCACGGAAACTGTCTATGGACAAACGCTGACTCTATGACTTGGAAACAGGGATGAGCACCGTGCCCTAGAGTCGAACACGACTGGACTAAATGTCAAGGGGAACCTTTACCTTTACCTAACCTTTGTATTATTTTATTTTTGAATTGTACAATGGTTATTTTGGAATAGCATGTTCTGTGTGAAAAATGCCCTGTAAATATTGAAAAATAGGGCCACGATTTCTGAAAAATCGAGTAGCTGGGGCACCAAGTTTACCAAGACAGACAAACCTGGCTTCCAAGCAATCTATACAAGGCTTTAAAAAAGGTAAAGGTTCCCCTTGACAATTTTTGTCCAGTCATGTTCAGCTCTAGGGGGCGGTGCTCATCCCCGTTTCTACGCCATAAAGCCAGCGTTTTGTCCAAAGAAAATCTTCCGTGGTCACGTGGCCAGTGCGACTTAGACATGGAAACGCTGTTACCTTCCCACCGAGGTGGTCCCTATTTATCTACTTGCATTTCCATGCTTTCAAAGCACTAGGTTGGCGGGAGCTGGGACAAGCGACGGGCGCTCACTCCGTCACGTGGATTCGATCTTACGACTGCTTGGTCTTCTGACCTTGCAGCACAGGCTTCTGCAGACTTGTCTGTTATTTCTCATTGGTTGTATGGACTTTTCAACACAAATCACCTCTGAAATTGGCCAGAGAGCGAGTGTGCCAACCAGGACCATGGTAATGACAGTTTGTTATGATTTAATTCATCAGTTAGAACCAATGAAATACTGGGGAAGCTGTCAAGTTACTTACAAAAGAAATCTTCAGAATACTGGTTGCATATTTCCCCTTTACTCTCTCTTCCTTAAAATGGGGGAAACACTACAGTACTGTAATGAAAACCTGGAGGCGATGAAAGTCTATTGTAAAAATCTTACTAAAACTACAATGATAATTATTCAAATTAATATTGCACAGACATGAGCACCGAGTGCTGTCCTCTGAAGATGCCAGCCACAGAGACTGGTGAAACGTTAGGAAGGACAACCTTCAGAACATGGCCAAAGACCCCGAAAAACCCACAACAACCAAATTAATACTGCTTTTGCTTATGTTATTATGGTATTTCTAGGGTATCCAAATCTTGTAAAATTGTTGAGTCAGCATCAATAGCTTCTGAGCTGCCTGCTGAGCCAGGGAGGGTCTCCTTCAGATAAGTGCAAAGAGTGAGAGTCTGCCATCCACTCTATCCATTAGTTATTTATTTTGTGTGTCATAGCAGAATATAGCATTATTACATAGGACTCTGCAAAGACAATGCAAAATACTGAAATGGCCTTAGAGACCACTCTAAATTTCTTGCTGAACAGAAGGATGTGCATGCGTGTCTGTGCATTTAAACAAGTTAAATGAATAAAGAATTATTGAGCGAGTCTCAAGAATGATCACTGACCCCTGTAGACAACCTTAGTGGGAGAATAAGTCATACAGTACTTAGAAAAGTCATGTGACTATATATATAATAAATACCACCCACCCTGCTGCTCAACTGTCTCCCTTTCAGAGCTGGCTGAGTTGGTCTTGGGGATGATGCTGTCACCCTCTTGGCTTGTGATCTTGGAGGAATTCAACATCCATCCCAAGGTCACCTTATCAGGAGTGGCTCAGGAATTCATGTCCTTTGCGAGGACCATGAGTCTATCCCAAATGTTATTTGGCCTCATGCTGCAGAGCACATTGTGGATGTCTGTGCTGGACAAGATAATGGCGAGCTAGATGTGGGGGAACTCTCTGTAGTTCTGTTGTCTTTGACAGATCACTATCTGGTTGGGCTGAGAGACTTACCAGAATTCACAACCTCTACAGGTTGGGAAGGGGGCGCTGGACCAATTAAAATTATCTGCCCCAGAAGACTGATGGATTTGAATGATTTCCTGATGGTTCTTGGGGAGTTACATTTATTTTCCCTAATGGCCCAATAGTTTTAATATATCTCTGAGGCTACCACATATTTCATGCAACCAGTCTTTTAAAAAATTGCCAATAGAAGAGAATATTCTCTTTATTTTTTTCTCTCCCCCTTTTTATTTTTTTTCTCACCAAAGCATTTCTAATTTTAAAATCCATTTTTTAAAATCTCTCAACCCAAATGTCAGATAAATAGCTGCAGGGGTGTCTGTGCTATGTGCTATTATTATTATTGATTATTATTTAACAGAGCTGCTATTAACTTTTTAATTTCTTGGCAAAGATAATTGCCCTTTCTGAAAGGATTATATTTGCTGACCTTCAAAAGGATTGATGCAAGGAGTTTTCTAAAAAAGTCATTACTGTTTAGGGGTTTCAGAAGACAGATTTTCCCACCGTGGGGTTTTGGTTTTGGCCAATTATTATTAAAATATCACATAGCAGCGAGGCAGCCCTAGTTAAAAAGTTAACAGTGTTTCAGAAGAAATTTGGGAAGATAAAGATGGTGCAAATGGGTGTGATGGTGGTACTTGTTTCCATTTAACCCCCAGTAGTTTTGTGTGTCTGTTTTGGATGGGAAATTTGAACACAATGGCATAAATGCCATAAAGGTGTTCCTAGCAAACAACAACAACAACAACAACAACAACAACAACAACAACAACAACAACAACAACAACAACAACAACAACAACAACAACAACAACAACAACAACAACAACCTGTAGGATTCCAGAACATGGCACAGGGTTAGGCATAGGGAAATGATGGTGCATGAAGAACAGTTTAATTTTTTAAATTCATTTTCTGCTCAGTTGACAACAATCACAAGAAGTGTAGAAGTGTAGAACAGGTTGGGTAATAACTGTTGAACATAGAGTACCATGGCAGAGGAAGAATGAACTGAATATCCAAAGAAAGTATCAAATATTACACTCTACCACGTTCAAGAAACTCCATCAAAAATATGTCTAATATTTTTTCCTGCTCAAGCAAAAGGCACTGAACAGCAGATCAGTCCTTGGGTCCTTGGGTATCTTACTTCAACATCCCTCTCCCAAAATGCTAGGATTAGAGATCAGTGGTAACATCGTTCACTGTAATTAGAATCTACACTGCCAGTCTTAAAAGTCTCTCCTTCCTCCCAGAACCCTGATGTTTTTCTTCCATGGAAAACATGGGGAGAAATGTATACAGTTTTTGGAGACATGCTATCTGTTTCACTTTATCCATTCAAGCCAAAATTGCTAATCAAGTTTCAGATTTTGATTCACAGTGAGTCCTGCTTTGATCTAGGCATCTCCCTTTCCATCCACATCAGTCAAATCCAGTTATGAATTTGGGATTTGTCCAGATCTGAAGGATGTTTCTACTACAAATCAATCAATGTTTACATATGTGAGGGTTCAATTTTTGGAACACTGGTCTCCACAATAATTCCATGAGTCTCTTTTAACTTTGAACTGGGAGAAATGCTTAATGGAGTACAGTATTCAATAAAAAATCATCATTAAAATAATTATTCCACAACTTGTCGCCTACCGCCAACGGGCTGACAGAGGTGCCCAAGCATCTCTCAAAAATGGGTTTGTGTCACTAACATTCCAGGGACTACGGCCAGCCTGCTACCCCTTCTTCTCTCAGGACCTCTCTGGCTTCTCCATACAGGAGGGGGGGTGGTCTCATTCTCGGTCTGGTCAGTCCATCCGAGGCCTCAGGTTGGGTAGAAGGGAAACCAAGTTATGTCCGGTAGCATCTCCCTCTCTGGCTTCTCCATACAGGAGGGGGGTGGTCTCATCCTCGGTCTGGTCAGTCCATCCGAGGTCTCGGGTTGGGTAGAAGGGAAACCAAGTTCTGTCCGGTAGCATCTCCTCTTTGCCTCCTCCACTCGCCATGCCAGACATTCTCTCTCTTCCCTTTCTACAAGCTCCCTTTCTTCCCTTAACTCCCTCTGCCACTCCCGAGCCTCAGTCTCACCCCAGTAAGACAGCCTTTGGGGGATCCCCTTTCGGCGGTGGTAGTCTGCCTGTTCACTTGGCACTCACAGCCTCTCCCACTTTCCTGTCCATGGGTCTTGTACCCATACGATTTCCCAACCCCCTGGTATCGGATCTTCTCTCCCTTTTATATCCACTATCCCCACCTCAATCTCCACCCTCTTTTTCCTCCTGATTCCCACCAATTCAGCTGGGATTTGAATTGCTACCATTAACCCTCACAATTTCCTCTCTAAGTCCTGGGTATCAGTACCCCGTTATTCGGTTCTTCTAGGCTCAGGTACCAGCAAGGTTTGTACCTCCCTTTCTGTCTTTGACACAATGGACGGTACTCCGGCGAGAGCATCTTCCCTGTCGTCCCGGGTCTCACAACATATTCCAGAGCTAATATGTCCTTCGTGTTTATGTTGACTCAATAACAGATTTCTGAGTCTTGATATCTTCTATTTTCTTCTTCAAAATTAAGTTGGCCCTGATTTGGGAAAGGGTTGGTATTAGTACCACTGATTTTGTATTCTGCTATTTCATTGTAGTAGTTCACAGAAGCTTGTCATCAATGTAAACATTTCTGTGGGTGGGAAGGCCCAACATGTTATCTTTTGTACCAAAAGTGACAAGGGGTCCTATGGAATCAGACTGCAAGGTTTTCTATGGCATCTCTTCCAGTATATCTGAAGAAGGGGACTAAACTCCATGGAGACATATGCCAAATGAAAGTTGGCAGTTTTTAAATTGCCACAAAACTGCTTGTTGGTTCAGAATCTTGATAGCCATCATGTGTGTTATTGATTTTCCTAATGACCCTTGCTATGGTCTTCTGTCAAACCACCTTCGTATTCTTAAGAGTAAGCGTGCACTTTTAGCTCTGTAAAATGATATCATCACTGGTATTACTACACACACATATAATTTTCCTTTTGTTTGCAGGAAAAATGGCACTAGGAGTACCCTACATGAAAATGAAAGCAGGTTCACAGAATTTGCAGATCCAGACACATACTGTGGAGAAGTTGCTGGAACCTCTCATAATTCAGGTAGATTGAGACTTGGTAAAAGATGCTGTAAAATGGAAAGTTCACTTTGAGGTGGCTTTGTGTAGATATGAAAAAAATATTTATTTATTTATTTGATTTATATCCCGCCCATCTGGTATATTCTACCACTCTGGGCGGCTACCAACAAACATATATACAATTAAAATAATATAAATCCATTGATATCATCAATAACAAAAACATTCCAAAAAATAATAAATGATAGATAGTGAAAAAAAAAAGTTTAATGCTGACAGAAGGGAAGGACTGGATGTAAAGCCATGTCTTTAGTTGAATTTTAAATGTACCTAGCATAGGGGCCGTGCGAATCTCGGGAGGGAGATTGTTCCAAAGGTGAGGAGCCACCGCCGAGAAGGCCCGGCTTCGAGTCTTTTCCCACCGGGCCTCTCTCGGCGTCAGGCTCCTCAGCCTCACCTCCTGGCTCGCGTGCGTGGTCCGGGTAGATCTTGGTGGGAGAAGGCATTCTGCCAAGTATCGAGGTCCCAAACCATTTAGGGCCTTATAAGTAAGCATTAGAACTTTGAAGTCAATGCGGAAACGGATGGGCAGCCAGTGCAGCAGGGCCAGGATAGGAGAAATGTGCTGGTGTTTTCTCACTCCAGTAAGGAGTCTGGCCGCTGCATTCTGCACTATCGGAAGTTTCTGCATCAGCCTCAAAGGCAGCCCCACGTAGAGCGCGTTGCAGTGGTCTAATCTTGAGATTATGAGCGTGTGCACCAAGGTAGTGAGTGCCCCCGTGTGAAGGTAGGGCCGCGTGTGGTACAGACAACCGACGCCACCTGTGTTTCCATGGTGAGCGTCGGGTCCAAGTGTACGCCCAAGCTGCGGACCCCACTCATCGGAGCCAGGGTCACCCCCCCAAATGAGAGAGAGCCACCCAGGCCGCCAGCCACGGGGGCCCCCACCCTCAGAACTTCCGTCTTGTCCGGGTTCAGTCTCAGCCCATTCTCCTGCATCCATTGCAGTATGGTCCCCAGGCAGTTCTGAAGGGACAGGGCATCACCTGCAGTTGGTGAAAAGGAGATGTAGAGCTGGGTGTCATCAGCATACTGATGACACGATGTTCCACACCGCCTGATGATGCCAGCCAGCGGCCTCATATAGATATTGAACAGCATTGGGGAGATAATCGACCCCTGTGGAACCCCACAATTGGAACTCCACTGGGCCGAGACACTCTCCCCAAGCTGAACTCTCTGGGGCCGGTCCTCCAAGAAGGAATGGAGCCAGGTTAGCGCCAAGCCACCAATTCCCAATTCGGAGAGCCTCCTCAGGAGGATACCGTGGTCGACGGTATCAAAGGCCGCTGAGATGTCGAGAAGGACCAACAGAGACAATGGTGTGCAAACTTTAATATTAACTGAAATATTAACCAAAGAAGCCTATATATACACATTCTATTGAAAGATAGGTGAGCTTATGCCTGGCAGAAAGTGCATGTTGTAAACTTAATGTAAGGTGTGATCAGATGGGGAAATAGGACATTTTGGACTGCTTGTGGTACAATCTGGGTAGAGCTATTTTCTAATGACAATACAACATATGGCCTGTTCATACTGGCATATAGATATGGTCTGCGGATTACTGATCCCTTGGGTAGCGATCTCTTTGATTTTAAAGAGACCTCTTCTGCAAGTGTTTCTACATAGAATGATACATCGTTCCTCTTTAAGAGCTGTTGTGCACTTTTCTGGCCCAGAAGTAGGGTATGCATTATTTTTGGCATGCTCATTGTTTAGCCTATTTAACCAGGAGATAACAGCCTCAGCCATTATTGCTGCAGATTCCCAGAGAGAGTTGAGTAAGAAAAAGTGAGGGAACGGAAACAGGGAGGGGGGAAGGGAGAAAATGGAACAGCAGCAACAGAGGGAGAGAAGAGTGACGTAAAAAAATTAATTTCACTTCCCCTGATCTTCCATAATCGGGGAAGTGCTTAATTGACAGCTGATTTGGCTACAAGGGGTCGTTTGCTGTTCAAATGGGAGCAGCATGTGAAATGGTACATTGCTCCCCCCTGCCCAGACCTCAACATACCCCTTGTAGCTCAATCCACTCCACACCGAAAATGACCAGCCTGGACAGACCCATACAGGAGACAGTGAACGCTCCTGGCCCTGCTTTAGGTGCAACCTGAGGTTGTTTTTTTTGTTCCAGCAGCATAACTGATCTTATTTGCAGCTGGTCTTGAGTGATTCCTGTAAGCATGGAAATGTCACTTTATAGGAGATGGCTTCTAGCAAAATGATCCTTTCCAGCTCAATCAGATACAATCCTTTATCTCTCTACCTGATTGCACTGTAAATCACCATTAGTTCATACAGTGAACACACTGTAGTATTTTTTCCGCCCTTTCTTGAAGTCTCATGTTCTATCAGGTGCCATGGAATATATCAGAAAATATTAGAAATGCAGAGCATGAAGGTAACTAGTTATAGCAAAGACACAGATATTTAGTTACTTTTTGGGTAACAATCATGTAATTCTTCTATTTAAAAAGCAATCTAAAAGGTAGGCATAACATTACTGTAAGTAATACTATGTTTTCCCGAAAATAAGACCGGGTCTTATATTAATTTTTGCTCCAAAAACACACTAGGGCTGATTTTCAGGGGATGCTTTATTTTTTTTTCATGTACAATCTACATTTATTCAAATATAGTCAGATCATCTTCTGGTTGCTGCACAATGGTGGAGGGCAGGCTTTCATTTAACTGGGGCTTATTTTTGGGGTAGGGCTTATATTACAGGCATCCTGAAAAAACATACTAGGACTTATTTTTATTTATTTTTATTTTATTTATTTCATTTATATCCCGCCTATCTGGTCGGATCAGGACCACTCAAGGCAGCTAATTTTCAGGTTAGGTCTTATTTTCAGGGAAACAGGGTATTCTCTACAGACTTTTAAAAGTTTATTTTAAAAGGTGTTTTAAGGCATTGTTAGAGTTTTTTTACAGGAATTTTAAAAGGTTTAATGCCACATTCATATCTGTTTTAAATGGCAGCAGAAGTATTGCTTTTTGCCTTTAATTTTCTCATATTTTCATGCTGCAGTATGTAAAAAACTAGCCACTGGAAAGAACAAGAGAGTACTGTACTTCCCTGAATTTTAATTTTGCCTGATGGCTACTACACTCTAGATTTTTTTTTTTTGGAACATGATACTTTTGTGACCAGAACAATGGCAACATTAATTGTTATCCAGTTGTCTCCAAGTGATTAGTAACACATAGGGTTGCCATATTGCTGTTTGCATAATGAGTCGCTACACAGACTCATTGGAGCAGGCTGGATCAGAGTAAGTAGGGTTGCTAGAGGTTGAGTCAAGGCCTGGTGTGCCATTTGGTGCCATCTTCACATCCAAATGGGATATGCACTGCAAGCAACTCTGTTTGGTCTGGCTCCTTCCTTGAATTCACCATATTCTGAAGTAGCTTAAGAAGACAGCCACTTTGTGTTATTGGGAAATCAAACAGTTCTTCTTCTATTCTGTTAAAGGGCAGAGGAAGTAAAAATATATATATTTTTCACTGTGTTGGGATGGTGCTGATGTACTGCATGACTTATTTTTTAAAAAGAAGGAAAATGGAAAATGTGCTCCTGGAACCTGCCCACAACTGAATCTTTCTCCTGGAACCTGCTTGCAGCCTAATCAGGGATCTTTTTTTTAAAAAAGATGTGGCTTATACAACCAAAACGTATCAACCAACTAAAGCTTTAAGAAGTTAACATATTAAAATGTTGCAAGGCAAGGCTTCAGCATTTTTCTTAGTTATATCAGGTTATTTTAAATAGCCATTATGTTTCCAGACATAGTGACTCACTGTAAAATATTCAGTTTTTAATACTATGTTCTGTACGATACTAAGAGAGCGAAATCTCTTGCAGTGCCTTATAACTTATTATTTTCATTTACAGTAGTCTTCATTACACGACTGTAATTTTTCAAATTACAGTTTAATTTCCATCATAATTGATTCATTGCAGTATTATTCCACTTTCTAAGTTTCTGATGAATTTGCTAATAAATTTTTAGTCTTCACACACATTCATTTAAAGCTTTGATTTATCTTGGACCTAAAGCTTTCGTCTTACATAGGGTAAGCTATTCTGCATAGATGCCTGCCCTCTGATATAATTCAGTCATCTAATTCCAGTTATTCTTTGTGACAACATTCTCAATAGTATTAGCTTCCAATAAATTATTTCAATTGACTGTACATTTTTATGTTATTGTAAATACATTCATGCTGGCTGGATAGCTCAGTGGTTTAGGTATCTGACTGCAGACCCAGAGGTTTGAAGATACAGTAGGTTCCCTGCTGTGCCTCCTGTGAAGTAGAGCCAGCCTGTGTAGCCTTGGGCAAGGTACACAGTCCCAGGAAGGCCATGGAAGAAGGGAATGGTAAACCTCTTCTGCGTATTCTCAAACCATTATTCTTGTCCATGTCCTGGTATTACCCTGTTGGAGACTAAAAGGAATTTTTGGCATGAAGAGCATAGACCAGTGTCATGCCAAGTGTGCCTGCCCCTAAGCTGGGTCTGGGTCTGGAAGCCACAGTCCAAGATGCTATATTAGGAATCCTCCAGTACAGAGTGAAGAAGTAACCCATCTACTTAACACATTTATGGTTCTGCAGAGCTTGGAAGTAATGTGTTTAAAGTATAATGGCCCTTTTATTATAACACTGCTTGGAAGTAATGTGTTTAAAGTATAATGACCATTTTATTATAACACTGGTATAATCTCTCTCTCTCTGCCTCTCTCTGTCTGTCTGTCTGTCTATCTATCTATCTGTCTGTCTGTCTCCTTCTCTCTCTCACATACAGACACAGACACAGACAGACAGACAGACACACAGAGAGAGAGAGAGAGAGAGAGAGAGAAAAGTAATATTTACTGGTACTGCTGCTTTTGAGAGAGAGAGAGAGAAAGAGAGAGAAACAAGTAATATTTACTGGTACTGCTGCTTTCTTTAGGACAGAGTATCTGTGAAGAGCTCTAATGTCTAGTCTTATAAACTGAATCCATCAGATCCTACTTGCTGAGTTGCAGAAGACAAACTTGTTTTGCCCTCTTACATGACTGCCCTTCAAAATTTGAAAATGGCTTTTATAGTACCTCTCAGTCTTCTCTTTTACAGCCTAAGCACATTGAATGTCCTCAATGGTTTCTCATGGGGCTTGGTTTCCAGATCTTTTAATAGAGATGTGCAGGTTTGTGTCTTCAGCTTACAACTCACTGTATTTCCCAGGCAGCACAACCATGGTCTCTGAGGAATTCAATGAGTTGCAGTCGAAAGGGACAAATCTACACGCCATGACTTTTTACCATCAGAAGCGAATGTTTGCTGATAAGAGAAAACATTAACATTCTCTCTTATCTTTTTTAATCCTAACCTAGCAGACTCCATGTATTTTCTTGCTCAGTTTGCAAACTCCATGCATTCTCTATGGGAGTTCCTATGGCTGCAGATCTTGTGGACTTTTCAACTCACTGTGCTACACATGCAGATTATGTGGGAATTAATGGGAGGTTTGTAATTACTTTGCAGTGACCTTCAATATATTCCTGCTAAAACAGTTATTTCTGCCTCACAACTCACGTCCAAGATATTTCTGAAGTAATCTCTATCAAGCAGTTCATTGCTCTTCAAAACTCCATGTTATAATCACATTTCAGCTTGGCAATCTTGACAGACTTTTGACTCATCTCTGGTAATGTTGTCTCAGCACGAATTCAAGATCTTTATAACATGTTAAAAAGTGGCGAGTTGATTTAGGCCCCATCCCAGAGACTCTCTGGGTGTTGCATTCTGACTTCTTAGTTTGTTCGTATTATTTCTAGTATTATTTATTCACAACAAGGAGCACATATTCCCTGCTAAATACCCCTAAATACTTTAGCAGTCACTGTAGTTTGAGCTTATTGTTTTGTTGATAATTTGAAGCTGAGAAATGTTGTCCATTTTAATATAGAACTGAAGGAATTGAAACTTCTTTTTTGTTTTAGGTTACCACCTTGATGAATTGCTCTCAAAACCCTTCAAACAAGAAAAAGGGATGTTCCAAAAGAGCCCGTGCTATCCTTGCATCTGTGGAAGAAGCTACTTGGAACTTATTGGACAAAGGGGAAAAAATTGCAAAGGAGGCCCCTGTACTTGTGGAGGAGCTCAATGCTGCACTTCATGATGTTCGCAAAGAAAGTAAGTCTGCTTTTACTGTAACAACTATGTAGCTCTTTCAAGGAATAATTGCCTCTGTTTTCTTATTATTCATTTAAAATATTTTTACCCCGCTTTCCTCCTTAAAAGGATCCAAGGCAGCTTACACCAATTGAAAGAAAATATTTAAAAGCTAAAAAGAGTGAGTATGCAAATCTTAACAAACAACTAAACAAGTATTATATTGAAAATGATCAACAAAATCAATACTAAAACACATTTTAAAAACAACAGAGCACAACAATCCAGTAAAAATACCGTATGATTTTTTAAAAAATGATTTACTGTATTTTTCTGTGTATAAGATGCCCCTATGTATAAGACACCCCCTACTTTTCTAGCCCCAAATTAAGGGGGGCTTAGCAAGTGTAGGGGGAAAGGGATCAAAGCACTGGAGGATTGCTTTGATCCCTGCTTTCTCCCTTCATGCTAAGCCCCGCAGGACTTAGCAAAAGGAGGGGGAAAGGGATCAAAGCTATCCCACGACTACATGATCATTTTGATTCCTTTCCCCCTTATACAGCCATGGGATTGCTTTGATCCTTTCCCCCTACACTTGCTAAACTGTATGGGACTTAGTAAGCAGAGGGGAAAGCAAGGATCAAAGCCATCCTGCAGTGCTTTGATCCCTGCTTTCCTTTTGCTAACGCTTAGCAAGTGTAGGGGGAAATGGATCAAAGCCCTGCAGGATCACTTTGAACCTCGCTTTTCCCTCCACTTGTTTTTTCTCTCCTCAGCTTACTTCCGTGTATAAGACAACCTTCAATTTTTAGTCTAAAGATTTTAGACAAAAATATAGTCTTATATATGGAAAAATACAGTATATCCCCCATTCTTAAAATTGCAAAGAATCCCCATGGGTTGGAACAAAATGCCTGTCCATTCCATTAGTCGTGCTATCTGGTTTCATGCTTCATCAGTGCAACTGGCGGATCAGATTTGCCCTGTGATATGGAAGGTAACTAGTTCTTCAGAAAATGTGTGCGCACCTCGGTGTCTGACCATGATGTGTGCTATATCTGATTTTTGGTTTGTGTGGGATCAGGGAGGGTATCAATCAGAAGGATCTAATCAATACCCTTGGCATCACCACCAAGAAGCAGAGTTTACTGTTGTTAGAACCAGAGATGCTGTTCAGTATAGGGTGTCTCCCTTAAACAAAAATAAAAACCATTGTGCTAGCCCAATGCTTTTTTTTGTATGTAGATTTTTAAAAAAAAAAAACCCTATCAATAATTTTTTTTGTTATGGTTAACAACCTGAAGGTATGAAGGAATAAAGGATCAAGTTGAAGATGAAATGGGAATTGGGATAATCACTAATAACCATGAGTCAGGGTGACCACCTTGCCATCCAGATGATGCAGTGAGATGCAAAGTAGTAGTGGTTGCTGCTTGTTCCCTTCCTGGCCTGCTTTTACCTGTCTGGTGCTGGAACTTTCAAAGTGGTGGCTCTGAGAGTTACAAATCAGAATGCATTGTGCACCTGTGCTTTTTCTTGATGAATTCTGCATGGTGAGGGGGAAAAGGATGGAAGACACAATGGGACAACCTGGGAGAGTCACAGGTGGAAGACAATGATGTTTGGACCCTTTGTAAAATGCTGTGAAATATGGTAAAAGGCTCTCCCAGAAGCACCCCAGAGCTTTAGAATACACGCCAGGTGAGTAATGGGGTGGGTGAAGGAATAATAAGGAATCAATGAGAGAAGCTACACTGTACTCTCTCCCATTGAAATAGGGGATTTAAATGTATACTTCTAGTGGTTGAGTTGCAAAGTGTCATCTTTAGCTTAAGTGCTGCAAAAAAAACCCCTCTTTTCTTTTATTTATTTGATTTATATACTGCCTCTTTAATACTAGCACTACTCAAGGAAGTTTACAGATTAAAACTAACCCCACATAACAATACGTGCAATATGGTGGTTCACAGATATGGGTGTAAAATTCATGCTTAAAAAAAAAGAAAAACAAGAAAGGAAAAAATTAAAAAATAATATTAACAGCATCTGGATGATAAGTTATCAAAGGCAGTTTTGTATTCTGTTTTCTTCTTCCTATTATTTTCACCTTAAAACATTAAACTATTAAAATCAATTATGCTGTAACAGTTTAGCACCACCCTTCGCTAATCCTTGTCAGGTTATATATGTAAGTTTTCTGGTGTATATGTGTGTATCTCTGTGTCTTCCTTTACAGCTGCCAAAACACAAAAGGACAGAACTGACTTTACCTTTCAAATGATCTGATGTAATAGATTTGTACCATAGATTCTAATTTTGATTGTCTTTCTCTTGCAAATCAACTGGGTTTTATTTTCTGTCACGGAAAACATTACATTCTAAGTAAAGTTTGATGCTTTATTCCTACTTTTCCTTTGATAATTTTCTTAGTCACTAGTTAAATGGTGGCTATGACTCTTATGGTTTTATACAGTGGCCAGAATCCTAGTGGTGTTTGTATTTGTTTTGTGTAGCTTTTTACAGCTTATTTTAACTAACTGATGAGGTAGCAGGACATAACTCCGTTGTGCAATAGGGCCATGAGCGGGCACAAGATCAAGAGATGCTCCAGACTGTAATTAGCTGCAGCAGGTTAAACAAACCTTAAGCGGACGCCTGTGGATTCTGGCTATTGCCTTTTGTTTTATGCTGGTGAACGAAGAGGCAGAAACATGGATTTACAGCTTATTTTAACTAACTGATGAGGTAGCAGGACATAACTCCGTTGTGCAATAGGGCCATGAGCGGGCACAAGATCAAGAGATGCTCCAGACTGTAATTAGCTGCAGCAGGTTAAACAAACCTTAAGCGGACGCCTGTGGATTCTGGCTATTGCCTTTTGTTTTATGCTGGTGAACGAAGAGGCAGAAACATGGAAGGCAAATTCTGCCAAGTTTGGCCCTTCCAAGAAATCGCTGGCTTGTCTGGCAGATAATTTTCTCCTACAAAAATTGTTTTCCTTTACCCCAAAGAGTAGGACAGATTCTGTGATCTTCCAATTACGAGAAAGGGAATTTTGATTTAACTTTCCAAATAACTTAATCAAGCAGAGGTTGGTGCTTCATTCTGCCATTCTAGGATGAACCTTCATGCCAGCTTCCAGCATGGGATGCTACTGCCTGACAGCAGATGTTTGGCAGTGGAACATGGTGCCTGGTAGAATGGTGGATTCTCCTTCCCCTGGTGGCTGGATGTTTGCCTATCAGGTTGTTCTGGCAGTGGATTTCCTGTAACAGCAGGATTGAGACAAGATGTCCTCCAAACTGTCTTCTGACCATATAATTCCATGAGAAGATAGGCTTCAGATGTTGGATTATATTATCTTGTAAAATTAAGAATTCGCTGCTAACCCACCATCCAATACTGCAGATATAATTACATTACAGGGCTTGTGATCTGTGTGTACTACATCTGCTTTCAATAGTATTTTTAAACTGATTGGGAGAAAATGCAGTGTGGTGTGAAAGGAAAAGATAAATTATTATCTGTAATCATATAATGGAAAAAAGAGCACATTATAATC